CGATTGGGAAAAGAAATGACAAATACTCTGAATCTGGCTTTGAAGTTTAAGGCTATTAGGGCTTAGAATATTTGAGATGAAACATTTGAAATATCAGCTAATAAATTAGTTAGTTATCAATACTATGGGAAACTATAATATGGTTTTAGGATACCCAACATGTAAAATAAAATTTAAAAATGTTTCTCATACTTTTTTGTTTCATATTTTCATAAAATTTGTGTGTTTTTTTTAAATAACCAAGCTTCACTTAAATTTCATCTCAAAATTCTATGAATCAAGAGAACAGGTCTTTAAGGAGAGGTCAAGGCACTCAATTGAAGCCTCCTGTTTTGGGGTAGAGGTTCAGGGCTCATTGAGTAGGAAAATGTGATGTGTTTCTTGGAATAACTGGTCACACAAAAGGCTAGATTTTTTTTTTTTATGAATTTGATGCAAGGATGACAGAAGTCTCATTTCTTTATGAAGATGATATTAGTCATTAATGAATCAGGCTTTGTCTTCCACTAGAAAACAAATCACATGCTCATTATTAAGGATACCTCTGTTAACAAGAGCTGTCTCATCCATAAACAGCTAAAAGTGGGAGCCAAGCACATGAAAATAAATTAGACATGAATCAAATTCAAGATCCTTGAAAAGTAAGTGAGCAGCAAAAGGAATGGTAATCTTGAAATATAAGCAATAACTGTATTAGACCCACTAAGCCATCTTTGAACAGGTAGGTAAAGTGCTCGGGCCAGATGATCTCACAACACGTCTAGGATAAAAGAAAGGCCTTAGAGAAGACAAAGGGGGAGGTGAGACATGGAGAGATTTCATGTAAGCCATCAGAAGACCCGCTAAAAATGCACTCTCGCATTTGGGTCTCTGTCCTATTGGTACCTGTCTTGATCATTCAAAATGGAAAATTTAAATCTCTCTTCAGGTTTGGCCATTGAATATGGTCCAATCATAACTTGAATATGATGTGTTGGAGATCCCTGAGGAAACTGCTCTCCTTTTCTTCATGCTTTCATCGGAGACAAGTATTTCTCCATGTATTAGCAACTTATATGTAGCATAAATTTTGTTATTTTAATATCTGATGTGTGATAAGAGGAGGATTGGTCATTGTTATTTTTGCCTTCCATAAATTAGTCACCAAAGTGAAGTACTGGAACAAGAGAACCTAAAAGCAACCCCATTAGATGACTATAGCAGTATAAAAGACCCTAAATTTAATTATCTGTGTACACTGTGTTTTCTCAATTGTGCTCTATTCTAGACAAAATGGATCCTTATTGATTTATTTAATGCTTGTTTACATTTTGGTTTCTGCATCTGAATTTATTTATTTATTTTAGGAGAAAAGAAATGCCTTTCCTTTGAGAACGAATAAATATGATCAGTGTAACTGAGATTTGGAAATAAAATGCTCTCTTTTCTCTTCTCTTCCTTCTATTACTTTTTATTAGTCGCCTTGTAAGATTAAATATTCCTTAGAATATTACTTTGATTCCTTAGAATATTAATTTTTCCCTGTCATATAAGAGATTGTTCATCCTTGAAGTTCAGTTTTGTGACAAAACAGTATTTCCATTGATATACTTTTCAAGTCTACTATAATTGACAAGGTTTATGTAATTTTTGATGAAAAGCTCTGCAATTCTTCTAAATGAAAATATTGACTAATAAAAACATGTCTGGAAAACATTTTTTATCCCCATCTATCACATAGTTTTCCCCTTTCATTAAAAAAAAGGGGGTCTAAAATGCCAACTCCATTTTTTTAATGGACTAAAGGAAAACCAATCTCAGCCTCCTCTGTCTTCTTGAATCCAGTGAATGTATTTCATTCCTCATCCGATTTGTTCTTGGCAACATTCCACATGTTTGCTCACTCAGGGCTCCTCCCTCCTTCCATAGATCCTTCTTGCCACAATCTCTTGGGTTTTCCTCTATTTTTTTCCTGGTTTGTTTGTTTTTCTTAAGTCTCCTTTGCTGATTCATTTTCTTGTGTTCATTTTTAAATCTCTGCATTCTTCAGGGCTCTCTTCTCAACTTTCCAACTCTTGTACCATATGCGGTATAGCTAAGTCTTTAACAATACAGGTTATGTAAACTGACTACCTAGGTTTGATAATAGTTTTCAATTGCTGTGTAACAAATCACCGTGAATTTTGTGGCTTATAACAACACTCATTTAATATCTTGCAGTTCTGTAGTGGAGTTCAGCTGGGTCCTCTACTCTGGCCATTAACAGGCTGATATCAAGGCATTGGTTTGTTCTGAGGGCTCATTTGGGGCTTGAGATCATCTTCCAAGCTCAATGGTGTTGCCAGAATTCCATTTCTTGTGGTTGTAAGGCTGAGTGCCCCATTTTAATAATGGCTTTTGGGCAGGGCTATTTTTAGCTCTTGGAAACTACCTGTGATCCTCTGCCCTATGGCCCTTTACATGAGCCCTGTCACACTTCCCATTTCTGATATCAGGAAAGGCTATTTCCTTTTGAAGTGTTCAACTAATATCCATTTTAATGAACTCAAAATCAACTGATTAGTAAATAAATCTTGGGTGTTATATCCCATCACATTTATAAGTTGTGACCCACAAAGGAAAGGAAATTGTACAAAGTGTGTATACCAAGGGTTGGGAATGTTGGAGGCCATCTTAGAATTCTACCTATTTACTAGATATGCAAATTTGGGCCAGTTACATAATTTATCTGTGCTTTGGTTTTTCTCAGCTTTAAAGTGTGAAAAAAACAGAATATTATTTGTGGGGTTATTGTGAAGATTAGTTTGATTGGTACATGTAAAACCCTAGAACAGTTATTAATATATAGTAAGAGCCTGCAAATATTCAATTGCCATCCTCAATATCCCCATAAATATTGTATCCACTCCCATTGCTTCAATGTTACTGATAATCCTATGACTTCCAAATTTATATATCCAGTAAGACCTCTTTTCTGAGCTTCAGACACTTGAAATTTCCTACTTTACATCTCCACTTAAATGTCTAATAGCAACCCAAGTACAATTTGTTTAAGTCTAAACTCATGATTTCATTTGCAAACCTGATCCTTTCTAATGCTTCTTATAACAGAAAATAATATCCTTTCATGAAGTTCCTCATACTTTCCAATTTCCTCTTTCTTTCCTACCATTCATTCATGTGTTTAAATTTGTTTTTGTGTGGCAGAGAATAGAATGATCACTATAACAGATATGCCTCTGCCCTATTAGAGCTTAACTATAATTAAGTGAGAGACAGATTATATTCTATTCCCCAAAACCTATTAAAACAAAGCCATTTTTAAGATTTTTTTTTAAAGTATGAATTTTTATTGACTTCAGAGAGGGAGAGAGAGACAGAAACATCAATGATGAGAGAATCATTGATTGGCAACCTCCTGCACAACCCCTACTGGGGATCAAGCCAGAAACATGGGTGGGAATCAAACCATGACCTCCTGGTTCATAGGTTGAGGCTCAACCTCTGAGCCACACCAGCCGGGTCATTTTCACTTCTCCTTAGCAAACACTCTAGTCAAAGTCACTGGCTTTCCTGAATAAGAGTAATAACCCATGGGTTTCTACTTTCACTCTTTCTCTTTCTCTTCCCCTCAACAGAGCTACCATCTTCAAGGAGGTCTCATTAACTCACTCCTTTGCATAAATCCTTTCATTGGCTTCCTGTAGTATGTAAGATAAAAACAAACCTTCTTCATAGTCTGCTATAGCCTCGCCTAATGTCTCTAACTTTATGCACCCCAACTCACCCTTCCATTTCTGTTTTAGCCCTGATGGTCTTCTCCCTGCTTCTCAACAGTGGAACACTGCTTCATGTCTTAGCACATTGCACCTGCCAGTCCTTCTAAAATGGTCACTCTCTCCCTTTCCTGCTCTATAACCCTCCCTTTACCTGGTAACCCTCAGCTAAAATGTTATCCCTCATGAAAGCCTCCCCTTATCCCTCCTAAGCCAGGATCTCCACTATACTCAAAGTACTATATGAGTCTTCTTTATGACATTTAATATGGTATATGGTTATGTGCAGATTTGAGTCATTATTTAAGATGTGCCATCATTCTGGGGGAGGGACAAGTTTCAGGCATAGGAAAAGTAGATTTTACAATCGTGTTTTGTAGCTGAGCGGACATGACATATATTTTATTTTTTTCATGACTTGTATTTTACATGTAAATGCTATTCTCAGAATGTGTGTTTGATGGGAGAAGCTTCTTCTATAACTACCTCTTTGTCAATTCAGACCAAGCTTACCTAGACAGTATTTGGAAGGGAACACTTTTATGGAGAATTACTGGAGACCTGAGCAAGAATGTGAAAAACTGTTCTACAAACTATAAAACTCAACAAAGAATTTTTATTGTTGTTATTATTGTTAATATCACTGAAATACAAGTTTATCTAAATACTTGAGCTACCTTTAATTTGATCAATTGGATTGCTCCCAAATACTTGATTTTCTCTACCAGAGGTTTCAGATCTACTGATGTTTTCTTAAATATACACCTGTGTGCTGTCTACTTATTAATATGTGTACAGGCATATGAGATATATACACATATACATATGGTGTATGTATGGTGTATATGGTCTATATTCAGGCTCCTCTAAAATAAATTCCAGCCTAATGTATCATAAAATGGGACTAGTCCAGTGGTGTTATTTTTAGGGATTTACTTAAAATCTTAATTTCCAATACAATTCAGTGATGCTGAATAAGATGATATTTGGGGTGTAACTCATCAATAGTTTTTGAAAGCCATAAAAAAGTCAAATCCCTTTAGCTTAAAAGTGTTTACTGATTGTATAAATGTATTTTACAAATATGCCAAATTTACTGTGATGATTAAAACTACAAATATAAACTTCTAGTTGATTAAAAAGCAGCTAATTTATTGTAGAAAATATTCAAAATTATTACTAAAAAGTAGAAACATATTTATCGTTAAGCTAACTGACTGCAATTTTATAATTATTTATTTGTAGACATCCACTTTGGATCACATCTGAAACTGAATTCAGAACAACATTAAGGTAAGCTATTTATCTGAGGTGCAAGTGTGTGTGTGTGTGTGTGTGTGTGTGTGTGTGTGTTAGTTTTAAGCAATAAGAATATGTGGCATAATTGTGTGTAATAGAATGTTCAAACATATTTCTAGTTTCTGAGCTCCTAGAAAATTTCTGGTTCATGACAAACTGATATTGGTTCCATTTTATTTTTTATAATATTTTTCAATTATAAAAAATATCAAAATATATGATAAATTGTTTTGTGGCTACTTGTTAAATGTCCTTTCAGCACTCACTCTGAAAATACCCATACCAATAAATCACTAAGCAAACGCACAGAGCCATTAAAGACAAATTAACACTGAACAGTGTTGTGCTCAATGCTGCTGAGTTAACAGAAGCTGGAATGAATTCTCAAATGTGGAGTGGTGTGATGGGGACATGCCGCTGAATTAGTAATAATAGTGATGTCAAAAGCAATAAAAATACTATTTACTTAATGTTATAATTCAGATACTCTACTAAATACTTTATTCATATGCTTTATGTCATATAATCCCCCAAATTTTCTGAAGCAAAGGTATTATTGTTATTCTTAATCTCATTTTCCAATGAGAAAACTAGGACTTGTCTAAAGTTATAGAGTTAGTAAGTGGCATACTTACCAGCTGAGATCTTTTTAACACCCAAGTTTTGGTTTCCTACCACTATGTTAAACTACCTAGAAAAGATATGTGTTAATCAGAATTTTTTGAATTTTGCATTGAGGAAATAATGAGAAGGGATTTTTTTTTTGCTACATGAAGACCACTAACAAAAGCATGAAAGGTGAAATAGATATGCATTGTCCCATACTGACAAGTTGGAATGAAGAGCATTTGAGGAAAAAGTATAATCCTGATAGAAGTAGAAGAAATAGGGAGACATGCTATTGCCAAAAGACATGACAGCAAGCAAATGTGACAGTCCTTTATGACAAGTTGGGTAAAGGAATAAAGAAAAAGGAAGAGCAGAGATGTTTTAAGTTTGTTCCTGTGAAAAAAAGTGCAAAACTTTTTCTTGTTCGAAAACAGATTGAGTTGGATTCTCTATTTTGCATTGGAAATATTGATGGGTACTCACATTTATATATTCTGTAGGACATTTAAAGTTAAATGAATAAAAAGGTGAAGATTGGGTCCTAATTCCATTAACTCTTTTTATTAAAGGCTTTACACAAAGCCATTAAAGACAGATTAATACTTTAGAGTGGGTAGTTTAATATGAAAGGATTAATATAAAAATGGAAGTACATAGGGCTATTACTTGAAACACCATTTTCAGTTGAGCATTTTAAAAATCAAATATAGCTATGTAAAATTGAAAAGTATGTGGAATGATGCAACTTGTATAATAATATTGCCTTCCATGCCTAATTAAATTCTCAAAGATTTTTTTTTTATTTCTTTGTTTGCTTTTTAAAAAGTAAATAAATGCAAATTATTTAAAACAACTCCGGAGTTACTTCGCTTACTTTAAGCATAGTTTTTATCCTTCCCCCCACCACCCCAATTGGGTATTATCATTAACCTGTTAACAATACTTCAGGTAAATACAATTTAAAATCAATTTTATTTCAAAATCAAAATGCTCATTCATTCTCTGTGTAATGAAATACGTGAATTAGGTAATGAACAAGGAGAAAGAAAGAAGGGAAGCTCTGCTTAGGCTATAAGTTACTTCATTTGGAGTGATGTCTGTTGGTAATGCTAGCCTACAATACTGCAATGTTTTCATAATGCTATAACAGTATTATGAAATATTTTTATAATATTAGAAAAAATACAGGATGAAATTATATATGCTACAGAATTATAACCTTCTTATATTTTATTAAATATCCTCACTCAGAGTAAATTCATCAAATATTTATCCAGTAGGTAAATTCAGTGTTAAATTCTGGCCCTACCACAATACTTTTAGTAGGCATGCTGCTTATCTTTTCAAGATGTTCACAGTCTAATAAAAAATATGTAAACATTGCCCTAACCAGTTTGGCTCAGTGGATAGAGCGTCGGCCTGCGGACTGAAGGGTCCCAGGTTTGATTCTGGTCAAGGGCATGTACCTTGGTTGTGGGAACATCCCCAGTAGGGGGTGTGCAGGAGGCAGCTAATTGATGTTTCTCCTCATCGATGTTTCTGACTCTCTATCCCTCTCCCTTCCTCTCTGTAAAAAATCAATAAAATACATTTAAAAAATATATGTAAACAAATTATTACAGCATGGTGTGATACCTCGGTATGGAAGCACATGGAATGGAATTGCTTCTTTCGATACAGTGGATCCAGACTAAGTATTAGCTGGTACACCTAGTATATGGCCTTCATGTAAAATCACCCCCTACTCTAATTTTTTTGTCATATTGCATCATTGTCTTATGTAAAAATTTTCATAGAGTAAAATTCAGTTAAATATAATTTGGGCAACTTAAACTCTTTTTTAGATATCTAGAATGTAGATGCACTTCCCATTAGGCTCATGATTTGTATTGTGCCATGGGCTAATCCATGAGGTTGGTTCTTACAGAGAGTAAGACGTAATGTGAGAGATATTACAGAACATTTATTGGACATGGTAATCTTTAACTCCACTTCTCTCTGACCAAGGGATTACACTATGCTGTAATAATTTCTTTACATATTTTTATTAGACTGTGAACATCTTGAAAAGATAAGCAGCATGCCTACTAAAAGTATTGTGGTAGGGCCAGAATTTAGCACTGAATTTACCTACTGGATAAATATTTGATGAATTTACTCTGAGTGAGGATATTTAATAAAATATAAGTTGGGAACAAAAGATAAAGCCTGTGGCCAGCTCAAGTTGGAGTCAAACTGAAGGGTCTCTCAGAGGACCAGAATCCTTAGTGACACCACTCTACGGGTAAGGGTCTACAGGAAATAAACTTGAGAACGTGCCTCAAAGAAGCATGCCTTTCTAGACTTTCCCATTGAGTGGAGAAACACAGATTCTCCCTTAGAATTCAGAATTATGAGGCAGTGTTCACTGAGGTTTGGGGGCAGAATTTACCTGTGTGATCCAACTTCATCAATAATTTAAGTGGTTCCAGATTCGAAGTCAGTGGATGAAAACAAAATAAATTGTTTGTAGTACAAATTCAACTTCAATGCTTCAAAGATAAATTTCTAAAGAAATGTTACCAATTTAAAAGTTATAAGCATAAGTAAAAAATGGACTTGAGAGGGCACTAAAAAGACATCACAGAAGATACAGTCTTACAAAGATATCTTATATTGGAATGATTAGATTCAGAAAAATGCATATGTTTAATGTACTATTTTCTATTGCTGCCATAACAAATTACCACACAGTGTCATAAAATAGTACAGATTTATTACCTTATAGTTCTGTAGGCCAGAAGTACAATAAAAGTGTCACCAGATAAAAATCAAAGTGTAGGCAAAGATGCATTTCATTCAGGAGGCTCTAGAACAGTGGTTCTCAACCTGTGGGTCGCGACCCCTTTGGGGGTCGAACGACCCTTTCATAGGGGTCGCCTAAGACCATCGGAAAACACATATATAATTACATATTGTTTTATGATTAATCACTATGCTTCAATTATTTTCAATTTGTAACAATGAAAATACATCCTGCATATCAGATACTTACATTACAATTCATAACAGTAGCAAAATTACAGTTGTGAAGTAGCAACGAAAATAATTTTATGGTTGGGGCTCACCACAGCATGAGGAACTGTACTAAAGGGTCATGGCATTAGGAAGGTTGAGCACCACTGCTCTAGAGGGGAATGGAATTGGTTTCTTGCTCATTTGGGTTGTTGGCAGAATTCAGTTGCTTGTGGTTGTAGGACTGATCTTCTGGTTTTGCTGCTGGCTCTAAATTGAGGGTTTCTTCCAGCTTCCAGATGTTGCCACATGCCTTGGTATTGGGCTCCTTTTTTATTTTGAAATCCATAATGGTATATTGAGACTGTCTTACATCATATCTCTCTGGCTCCTTTAGTCCAAGTTGGAAGTGTTTCTTCTTGTATAAAATTATCAAGAATTCTGTGGGACTTCATGGATGTCACAAGGATTCACCCCATTAGACAAAATTTTCAACAACTCCATGGACTCTCTTAGTTACTGTAGTTTACTCAGGACTTGGCGGCTATCATCAATCAAAAGTAATTTGTTTAGCACTGAATATGTGTTCACTATTCTGCTTGGCACTTTTGGGAACTCTGGGAAAAGTGTTGCAGTCCCTACTGTATTTTTCAATGTCATTAAAGGCTGTTTATTATAGTACATTTTGGCAGGCTCTCCTTGTTATTTCCTTTGCACAATTGAATAGTTTTAGATGTTTAATAATTGAGTTTCTCATCAATTATATTAGAATGAATTACAGAATAGATATTAAAAGCCATTGCTTTATTTTTCAAGCATGACTAATGTAAGAAAATCTCATGACTCTTTATTCCATTTCATCAAAACAAGAATTTCTTCTTCAATAAAAGGAAATCCAAGAATGTACAGGGGATTCAGTGCCTAAGATTCAATGAAAAATAAATAAAATGACTGTGAATTTTAAGAAAGAAAACATAGTTTTTTTCCCCCCAGATTATACAGTGGCATTCATATGGAGTTTAAGAAAATATTTTGCTAATTGTTAGCAAATACTAATTTGCTAAGTTTTGCTAGATGCATAATTTTATTTGAAAAAAATATAGTTCTGTGATATCTCTTTTGGACAAAATAGATTAGTTTCAAATAGAATTGGTTTAAATTGCTAGCTGTGACTCTTTAGACAAGTTGTATAACTTCTCTGAGCCTTCACCTTACCATAAAAAAAGTTAAAAACATCTCTGTCCGGGTAGCTCCCTTGGTTAGAGTGTTGTTTTAGTAAGCCAAGGTTGTAGGTTCAATCCCCAGTCAGGGCACACAAGGATCAACCAATAAATGCATAAATAAGTGAAACAACAAATTGATGCTCCTCTCTCTCTATTTCCTCCTCCTCC